ATATACTTAAAATTAAAACTGATGATAAAACAAGGGAAGTATATTTAGTACCTGAAAATAATGATTTAGCAGAAATATTTTTCCAGTTGACGAATATTGGATACGAACCCAGAATTAAATACTCAGGTATTATTGATGAAATTAGAGTCAAATTTAACAAGATAACATATATCATAAAGACTCAAAATTTAATTAAATCATCTAGCGATGGTTGGATTGCAGTAAGTAATGAAACTACGTACAACAATATGAATAAAGCAATGTTTAATTTTAATAAATCTCTATTTATTTTATCTCATAAATCTTTTTATAATGACATTGATATAAAAATATTAAATGAAACAAGGACTGTAGCACCTTCAGGATTACTATGGGATAAATTTAATTTAATGCGTAAAATTGAAATCGATAAAAATAAGGCATTTACAAAAGGTTTCATAGATATTACTGAAATACCAGTTTTTAATCAATTTGACAATTGGAAAGAATACACTGATGCAATTAAAATTGATGAACTCCACGATCTAACATTATATTATATTGAAGTTAAATATCCAGGCGTACCAGGTGAATGTTGCATGAAAAACATTAACCATCTTTTGGTTGAACGTTTAAAATTTAAATCAAAAGAAGAAGTTGACGAATTCATAACGACAAAAACGTTACAGGGGGATACAGCGGGCTTAATGTTTAATAAAAAATATAATTTAGTTTATGGTAAGTTTTTGAAAAAAATTATTAATCAATATAATATTAAAGTATTATATTATAAACAACCTTCATTTATTCATAAAACAAATTATAAAGATATGGTTAATGAACTTTGGAAAACTGTTATAGATGAAGATGATGAAGATGAAGATATACTAAGTAAAAAAATCATAGGAAGTGTCAATTTTGGATTATTAGAAAGGGGGGGTGCTACCGCTCAACACAGCATTTTGTTTAAGAGTATCGATGAAGCAGTCCATTATCAAACACAATACGGAGGCAAAATTCATAAGTTATCGTATATAGAATACGAAGAGTGTAAAATAGAAGAAGGAGATATAAAAGCATCATATTATATATTAAATTTGAAGGATAAGGCAGTATTGAGAAACGGTTATAGATATATTAAAGAACTACTCGTGCAACATCATAATTTTAAAATGAACCAAGACTTTTACAAATTAATAATCAATAATATTAATGTATATAGTGTGAAAACCGATGCTTTTGTAATTGATTCATACAATGTAGAGAAAGCAAAGCAATTATTAGAATTTCATAATGATATAGGAGGTTGGAAAGTTTCAAACCAAGGCGAAGAAATTAATTTACCTACTGTAAAATATGAAGTTGCTAAGAATGATCTAATAAAAATACCAGTTCATGAAAGTAAAACTATTGATATTAAAGATGAATACGACACTGATAACATTATAGAGATTGTTAAACAGAATAACCCTATTATGATCAGAGGCGAACTACCGGGCACAGGAAAATCATATATATGTCAAAAAATGGTTGATAAAAAATATAAGGTAATATTTATTTGTCCTACTAATAAATTACTACAGGCATTTGAAGGTGAAGCAATGACTATAAATAAGTTTTTTGGAATAAACTACGGCGATGCAAAATTAGAACCATTTGATTTTACAGAATTTGATGTAATCGTATTTGATGAAACTTATTTCAGTAATTTAAATATATATTAGAGAATAAAACCATTTGTAGAGCAGAATAAACACAACAAAATTATAATAGCAACAGGAGACACCAAGCAATTAAAACCAGTTCAAGAGATAACAAATACTCGAGACTATGAATTATATACTGATAATATTATAGGTAACACTTTTGAATATAATATTTTGTTAAAAGAATGTAAGAGACTTAACACACAGGAGGATAAGGATAAACTAAGAAATATTAAATTTGATATTTTTGAAAATAAATTACATATTATGAAAGTTATTGAAAAATATTTCGAATATACAACTGACATAAGCAACTCCAACAACAACATAGCATTTTTAAATACAACTTGTAAAAATGTATCAAACGAAATTAGACAAATAGAAAATAGAAAAGATGAATACGAAGTAGGCGAATTTTTAACATGTAGGGAATATACTAAAACTAAAACATCAGTGTTTAATGTAAATTTCAAATATAAAATAGTTCATATTGATAACGATGGAATATTTACATTAAAAAATGTCAAAACCGATATTTTACAATCCGTAGAAGTTGCTAAAATAAGAAGCAATTTTATATTTGCTTATTGGTCTACATGTCATTCTGCTCAAGGTAGTAGCATTGATGACACCATAACAATTTTTGATTATAATCATTTTTTGGTAAAGGATTATCGAGAATGGATATGGACAGCAATTACAAGGTGTAGAGATTTAAACAAAGTCAAATTTTATAAATATACGAAAGATATTGATGATGTATTTAATCAAAAATGCATTTTAAGTTATTTTGAAAGAAAAATATTAAACTACAAGGAACAGGACAGGAAAGCAAAAAGAACCATACCTAAAGAAGGTTATGTAAATGCACAGTGGTTTTTAGACAATATAAATAATCAATGCAATTGCTGCGGATGCGGTTTTTCTATGGACATGAAAAATGGTAATATAATGACAAATCTGACAGCGCAACGTAAATCAAACGAGTTGTCGCACGAACTGAATAATATTCTTCCTTACTGTGTTAGGTGCAATTGTAGTTGTAAATGATAATAGTTTAAATAATAGTTTAATATTTCTTATCAAAAATATTTAAAGAAATAAAAACTATATATATTATAATAGAAATGGTTGAAACCGAAATCAATAATTATATCAATAAGAAATGCTACGACTGTTGCCACTTCAAAAAAGAAAATATGGAATTATACAAATTGAATTTACCTAATGGAATAGTTAATAATGTTATTGATTATGCTTTGAGTGAAGAAAATTTATGTAAAATTTGTAGAAATTGGAGATATTATCAAGAATTAATCAAATGTAATTTGGATATTAAAAGGTTTAACGAAAGAAACGTTGAAGATGACATCTTGATATTTTTAACTGTGTATAAAATACCACCTTATAGTTATGTTAGAATATTTCTGAAAATCAGTAAGAAAAAATATGAAATGATTAAAGGTATATTGTGGAGGTTGACTTGTCATTTTAGGGAAGGGTTTGATGTAAAAGAATACATTAAAACATATATTGAAGGAAAAAAGTTTAATGTGACAAAAACCCTGAGAGATATTAATATTATTTTTAAAATGATGCATGAAAGAGATAAGATATATACACAATTTGATGGTCATCAATTGAATTATTATCCTGAACTTAAGTTATAAAATTCTATCTACCTAACCTTGCCCAAAATATTTCTACAAAATTTATGATAAAAAATATTGTTAAATAATTTATCATAATTTTTGGAATAATATTTTTGAAAATTTATTTTTTGCGAATTTATTTTTTGAAAAATAAACATTTGGAAAATATTATTTTTTGATATTTTTTTGAGAAATATTATTTTGAAAAATACTATTATTATTTGAGAAATATTATTTGGAAACATATTATTATTATTTGAGAAATATTATTTGATAAATATTACTTGGGAAAATATTATTATTGATTTTTTTTTAATGAATGAGCTTAACCTTGCCCATGCATCCTACCATCAATAACCATATCCTACGAACCACCCTATACTTCTATTTCCCCACAAGCATCCTAACAATGACAAGAATGATGGAATAGAAAATGAGAAAAATGTGACTTTTTTGATGGATTTTGAGGTTGAGACTGTTATGAAATGTTTTGAGTGGAAATATGCATAATAAATAAGGATGACGATTTGAATAGTGAAAAAATGGTTGACAAATGCCGATATTGCGTAGGGTGGGGGCTACTCTAGGATACCATAAAAAGATGGGCAAAGCCCCCCCTAACTAATATTCCCCCCCTACTCCTCGAATATTCTCTTAATATACCCTCTAATAGTTCCTCAATATTTTTCCAAAATTTCCTTACCATTCCCTAAGTAATTCGTATTTTTTCCTAATATTCATTTATTCCCCTAACTATTCCTTAAATAATATTCTATTATTTCAAAATTCATTTCCTATAATTATATTCCTATTTCCCCAATATTCCACTATTTCTATAATATTCCCTTATATCTAAAATTATAATTCCCTAATATTCCTCTAATATTACTTAATACTCCCCTAATATCCTATATTTATACTCCAATATCTAAACAACAAAAAACGAGAGAAATATCAAAGAAATAATAAAACAATACCAACAAAATAACAAAAAATAAAATAAAAAACATATTAAAACATAATACTATAAATAAACCAAGAAAAATACTAAAATTACTAATAAATATATTTCAAATATTAAAAATATATTAACAAATATATACAAAAATAAAATCCAAAAATATATATAAAGCAAATAACCTATTTAAATTGTTTAAACTTATTCTATTATTATAAACATGTTATAATCTATATTCCAAAAATAAATAAAAAATGAGGTAATATATACTCCAAAATATATATATATATATATAAACTAATTATTAACCCTATAATACCAAACAACATAATAAAACACAGTATTATATAATATTCTTATATTACATTTATATCCCCACCAATACCCAATCTCTATAATAATTACATAATTATAAACATCTTTTAAACAAACGCCTTTCTCACCAGCATTACCATTTATATTCACTTAATAAATCAATATAACCATAATTAAATATTTAAAAGCATTACACTCCACTATAAGACCCAAAGCCTTAAATTGTGATGGTGAGGTAAGAACAACTAGCAAGCTAAAATCATGCCATATAATTATCAAAACGTGGGATATTCATTCAGTATAATTTCCTGCCGAAATGTAATAACGCTCTCATATTCGTATAAACTTCATAAATTCAATATTCATGCACCAAGAATCCGAAAATATTTTCATCTGAAGCATCCACCGCAAACATATCGACCAATATCAATATCGCGTCGCCAGTCCAATGAGTCCCTACATGGCCTCTAAGTTGCCTGGCTGGGCTGTCCGGAACCGGAGACAATGCACTGAGAGAAGGCGGTGCGATCCAGTGACATCTGACGTTGTTGGGCAACTTCGTGGCTTCTAAGCTCACTCGAAGCAGAGTAATGCCCAGGATGCCCAGGACTTCTTGAAGGAAGCGAACCCTTCGCTTGGCGAAATCGAAGATCTGCACTTTGGTTTTCCCAGGCTTTGCGCAAAGCAATCTTTCCTCAGGCCAGACGGCCAGACCTTCTCGCACGTGCTTCTTGGCGATCGCTCGAATGCAGCCTTCAGCCTGCCAGAGCTAAACGCTTCTCCTCCAGCATCTTCCCGACAAGATTCTCACCTGCCCACTGGCCACCTATTAGCCTCATGCCCCACAAGTCGTCTGAGAGGTGGGCAATGCGCGAGGTGCCGGTTGCCAGCAGCAATGCCGCAAGAGCCGGATGTTGTTCCACTGCAAGGGACATAACATGCCTCATGGCTTTAATGGCCCAGCCTCGATTCCAATCACCCCTCACGGCTGCACGCAGCTCTCGTCGTGAGACAAATGAGCGCAACGCATTGGCTGAGCCAAGGGGTGTCGCAAGGACAAGCTGCAGGCTCTGTGCGTCTGAAAAGTGCAGTGCCAGAAAAAGATGGAAAGGCGAGGGCCAAACAGAGCTGGAATCCGGGTATGCCACTGGTATTGCATGGTGGGGTGACAGCGCCGCTAATGCACGCCCTGGTGCCACGAGGATCGTATCCTCCTCCTGAGGCTGCCCAAACAGACTTTCTTGACACTTGGAGCACGTGCCCCAAAGACTGAATTCCACCTCAGCAGTGATGGACGCGAAGCTTTCAACTACAACGACCTCCTTGCAGCTGGAGCATTTATCCCCCGGAAAGCAAGATGGTGCCAAGTGCACAATTGCCAATTTTAGCCTGTGATGCGCTGGCTTGCTCAGCCTGGCCAATAAGCGCGATGCTGCTGCTTCATGTGGATTCTCCGGCTCTGTTGAGGGTGAATGTGCTCGTTGTACTCGCAGGGTTTGTGGTGAAGCTCCAGACTGCAACCTTGATTCGCGCTGTCCGGAAGGCTTGACATCGCACTCATGATGGGTACGGCCTTTCCTTTTATTCAGCCAGTTTCGCAGCTTGGCACAGGTCTTCTCCAGGGAGCTGCTGAGGTCTGCAATTGTCTCCTTGGACGCTTGCGTGTGTGAGCCCAAGTCAGGGCTCGAGTCTGAGGATGTCTCAGACTTAGGCGCAGGTGGCGGGGCCGTATCGACCACCATGCTTAACAGGGACTCTCCTACGGCAATGGACGCTCTCTGAGCAGCTTCGTCGCCCATCATCATAGCCTGATCAACAGAAAGGCTAGCACGCTGGAAGAGCCTCCCAATTTCAGCATTTGCCTCCCCTACCACTGCAAAGCCCGCAGCTACCAAAGACCTGCGCACAATCTCAGCAGTGGATGGGCCCTTGGAAGATACGACATCGGGCACACCTTGAAGTCGGTGAGCAGAACGTGCTTGCTTGCCCCGAAAATGTGACTGTATCTTTGTTGCTGCTCTGTCTCGCTCGGATTCAAGACTTGAAGGCTGAGCATCGAAAAACCCTTTGTCAGCAGTCGGCTTCATGACCATCTTGCTGTGCAAATTGTGAACCTTGACGCGCAAGGCACCCACAGAAGCCAAATCCATGTGCCTCCTTTCTTGGTAAGTAGCTGCGGCGTGGGCACGCCGCGCCAGTTTGCCTCTGTACAGTGCCTGGATCCGAACAGCTGCCCTCGTCTCTTCGTTGGGCATGTCCACGTCAAAAAACGACTTCTGAGCTTGGCGCAGCTTTGGTGTGGAAGGCGGTGAGGTTCCGTCACGCGGGTTGTGAAGTCGGATGGCGCGCACACGCAAGGCAGCAAGAGCTGACAAACTCAGCGTCTGTTGCGTCTTGGCAGCCCTGCGCGATCGGTACATCTTCTGTATTCTGCTAGCGGCACCATCTTTTGAAAGCTTGGAGGGCTGGGCTCTGGGCCGTCTTTGACGCGCAGCCTTTCGCACAAGCTTCCCACGATAGAAGGCTTGGATCCGCACCGCTGCCCACACATCCTTGTCCTCGCCAGGTGTCCCTGGCAGCTTGGGTGATCGGTCAACAGTGCCTGCATCAACTCCTGCAAAGGGAAAGGCTGCCAGGATTCGCTTCATGCGCCGGACGCGGAAGGCAACCTGAATTGCTGCTGCTGCGCCCTCAGCAGTGAGACCCTGACCTTTCTTCTGATTCTGACGCCGCACTTGAACTTTGATGGACGCAATTGTGTCCATCTGAGGGCTGCGAAAGTCACCTGCGCTCTTTCCCAGCTCATCCTTGGTCAGCAAGGGGCCCTTCTCGGAAGCAACCGCTGCCTTCGAAAAATCCCTGGCGCGAACATGCCGCTTCGGGGCTTCCACCTTCCTGGCCAGCTTGCGGGCCTGTGCATGGCCTAGACCTATAGATGGAATGGACAAGTCCTGCTCGTTCAAAACCGGCGCTGGCGCTGGCCTCACGGCTGCTTCACCTCGTTTGAGATCCTTGCTGCGGGAGCGGAAGTGTTGCTGAATGCGAAGAACTGCTGCCAGCTGCGCGCCAAAGCCAGCTGATCGCGCCGAGCGCGCGCGGGCTCCCTTAGCACAGCCATGATGCTATGGATGGCTCGAACAAGTTGGCACGCCGTGCCCTCTTCCACACATGTTGGGATCTGACATGATGAGCAATTTGCGCATGTCTGCAGTGCCGCCACTTCTCGAATGAACAGCATGCAATCGAATCTCTTCAAAGGGTGCTAGGATACTTCTTGTGGCATTCAGCAACACGTTCAGTATACAGGTTGACGGTGAAGAAGCGTAAAGCGGTAAATAGATGATCATGCAAGCACCAAAAGCAAGCGAACGATGAGTGATGGAGCTACTTCATTTGTGGCGAAGAAAGAAGCACGAGACCATGCACAAAGAAAACACGGGGTTCACACAGTAGGGCACGTGAAAAACGAACACCAGCGGAACAAGCAGCCCTTGCGTCCCGCATCTCAGGCGCAGTGCTCATGCAGCTTTGCCGTTTGGATCGAAATGAACCTGCGCAATGCGAGGCAAACCTGTTTGCACAAATGCGTGCTGCAAGGACGTCAGCCCAGCCGTCTGCATCTGTTGCAACAACGAAGGCAATTCAAATGATCTTCCCAGGCGAAACCACAGGTCCGGCAGCAAGAGCAAGCACGTTCTTCAATGTGATGGCATGATCTGGGCCAAACAAGACCTTGCAGTTCCAACACGTTTAGCGGAAAAGTTGATAACCACATGGGAAAGGACAGGGCAAGATGGATCACAGGCCAACACAACCAGCGTGCGAAGCAGTTACGCAGCTTCTGATTCCATCAATCGGGTCAGCACATGTCAAGCCTACACAAGAGCACAGGAATGCTCACCCGTGAGCAGGAAACATATTGGTTGGTCCAGTGTCTGGCGCTTCCAACACATGCCACACAAGAGATCGTGTCAGAATAATTTTGCAAACGCCTGAAGCTATCAACTTGTACTTATGGCTCTCTCTCACTAGATGCAGGCAAGCAGCCTCTGCTGAAACCTGAGGCTGGTTTGCCTTGGGGCCACTTGAGACTCTGGGTCGGTCAGGCAGCCCCTCCAATCGGTCCGTGGGGACGGGCTCAGTCTTGGCAGCCGGGGAAGTAAAGTCCGAATCCTGCTGGCCGGCCGTTGATGTTGCCTCCGGCCGGGAAAGTGTGGGTTCTTCCGCCACATGCTCAGTGTCTGCTCGCGGTGCCAAGTTGCTTCCACTTTGTGCACTGAAGAAATCTGGCCGTGAAGCTTCCTTTGCTGGGGCTGCAGCTCCTGCTTCTGCTTTGGCCTCCCCTTGTCCTTCTTGCCCCTCAGCCGCTGTGACCGAGCCGCTGCCATCTGGGCCATTGTCACTTGGTTGTCCAAGCGGTGCTGTGGCGTGTGAGTTGTCCACTGGGCGATCCACTGCTAGTAGCGACCGTGGTGACGGTGGGGTTGCGCCAGCAGCCTCAACCTTGACTGTCTCCGGCCCATGCTTCTGCACAGCACTTCCGCCAAACAAAGACCTGTCTGGCGCAAGGTCTGGTGTGCCTCGCTCCTTCGGCGGGGTCTTGCTCTTGGCAGCCTTAGGAAGTCGCAGGCTGATTCCCGCTGGCTTGCCTGCTGCCTCTGGCCGGGAAAGTGTGGGTTCTTCCGCCACATGCTCAGTGTCTGCTCGTGGTGCCAAGTTGCTTCCGCTTTGTGCGCTGAAGAAATCTGGCCGTGAAGCCTCCTTTGCTGGGGCTGCAGCTCCTGCTTCTGGTTTGGCCTCCCCTTGTGCTTCTTGCCCATCAGCCGCTGTGACCGAGCCGCTGCCATCTGGGCCATTGTCACTTGGTTGTCCAAGCGGTGCTGCTGCGAGTGAGTTGTCCACTGGGCGATCCACTGCCAATGGCGACCGTGGTGACGTTGGGGTTGCGCCAGCAGCCTCAACCTTGACTGTCTCCGGCCCATGCTTCTGCACAGCACTTCCGCCAAAGAAAGACCTGTCTGGCGCAAGGTCTGGTGTGCCTCGCTCCTTCGGCGGGGTCTTGCTCTTGGCAGCCTTAGGAAGTCGCAGGCTGATTCCCGCTGGCTTGCCTGCTGCCTCTGGCCGGGAAAGTGTGGGTTCTTCCGCCACATGCTCAGTGTCTGCTCTGCTTCCGCTTTGTGCGCTGAAGAAATTTGGCCGTGAAGCCTCCTTTGCTGGGGCTGCAGCTCCTGCTTCTGGTTTGGCCTCCCCTTGTGCTTCTTGCCCATCAGCCGCTGTGACCGAGCCGCTGCCATCTGGGCCATTGTCACTTGGTTGTCCAAGCGGTGCTGCTGCGTGTGAGTTGTCCACTGGGCGATCCACTGCTAGTGGCGACCGTGGTGACGGTGGGGTTGCGCCAGCAGCCTCAACCTTGACTGTCTCCGTCCCATGCTTGTGCACAGCACTTCCGCCAAAGAAAGACCTGTCTGGCGCAAGGTCTGGTGTGCCTCGCTGCTTAGGAGGGGTCTTGCTCTTGGCAGCCTTAGGAAGTCGCAGGCCGATTCCCGCTGGCTTGCCTGCTGCCTCCGGCCGGGAAAGTGTGGGTTCTTCCGCCACATGCTCAGTGTCTGCTTGCGGTGGCAAGTCGCTTCCGCTTTGTGCGCTGAAGAAATCTGGCCGTGAAGCTTCCTTTGCTGGGGCTGCAGCTCCTGCTTCTGCTTTGGCCTCCTCTTGTCCTTCTTGCCCCTCAGCCGCTGTGACCGAGCCGCTGCCATCTGGGCCATTGTCACTTGGTTGTCCAAGCGGTGCTGCTGCGTGTGAGTTGTCCACTGGGCGATCCACTGCTAGTAGCGACCGTGGTGACGGTGGGGTTGCGCCAGCAGCCTCAACCTTGACTGTCTCCGGCCCATGCTTGTGCACAGCACTTCCGCCAAAGAAAGACCTGTCTGGCGTAAGGTCTCGTGTGCCTCGCTGCTTCGGAGGGGTCTTGCTCTTGGCAGCCTTAGGAAGTCGCAGGCCGATTCCCGCTGGCTTGCCTGCTGCCTCCGGCCGGGAAAGTGTGGGTTCTTCCGCCACATGCTCAGTGTCTGCTTGCGGTGCCAAGTTGCTTCCGCTTTGTGCGCTGAAGAAATCTGGCCGTGAAGCTTCCTTTGCTGGGGCTGCAGCTCCTGCTTCTTGTGCTTCTTGCCCATCAGCCGCTGTGACCGAGCCGCTGCCATCTGGGCCATTGTCACTTGGTTGTCCAAGCGGTGCTGCTGCGTGTGAGTTGTCCGCTGGGCGATCCACTGCTAGTGGCGACCGTGGTGACGGTGGGGTTGCGCCAGCAGCCTCAACCTTGACTGTCTCCGTCCCATGCTTGTGCACAGCACTTCCGCCAAAGAAAGACCTGTCTGGCACAAGGTCTGGTGTGCCTCGCTGCTTCGGAGGGGTCTTGCTCTTGGCAGCCTTAGGAAGTCGCAGGCTGATTCCCGCTGGCTTCCCTGCTGCCTCTGGCCGGGAAAGTGTGGGTTCTTCCGCCACATGCTCAGTGTCTGCTCGCGGTGCCAAGTTGCTTCCGCTTTGTGCGCTGAAGAAATCTGGCCGTGAAGCTTCCTTTGCTGGGGCTGCAGCTCCTGCTTCTGGTTTGGCCTCCCCTTGTCCCTCTTGCCCATCAGCCGCTGTGACCAAGCCACTACCATCTGGACCATTGTCACTTGGTTGCCCAAGCGGTGCTGTGGTGTGTGAGTTGTCCACTGGGCGATCCACTGCTAGTGGCGACCGTGGTGACGGTGGGGTTGCGCCAGCAGCCTCAACCTTGACTGTCTCCGTCCCATGCTTGTGCACAGCAGAACCGCCAAAGAAAGACCTGTCTGGCACAAGGTCTGGTGTGCCTCGCTCCTTCGGCGGGGTCTTGCTCTTGGCAGCCTTAGGAAGTCGCAGGCCGATTCCCGCTGGCTTGCCTGCTGCCTCCGGCCGGGAAAGTGTGGGTTCTTCCGCCACATGCTCAGTGTCTGCTTGCGGTGCCAAGTTGCTTCCACTGAAGAAATCTGGCTGTGAAGCCTCCTTTGCTGGGGCTGCAGCTGCTTTGGCCTCCCCTTGTGCTTCTTGCCCATCAGCCGCTGTGACCGAGCCGCTGCCATCTGGGCCATTGCCACTTGGTTGTCCAAGCGGTGCTGTGGCGTGTGAGTTGTCCACTGGGCGATCCACTGCTAGTGGCGACCGTGGCGACGTTGGGGTTGCGCCAGCAGCCTCAACCTTGACTGTCTCCGGCCCGTCAAAGAAAGACCTGTCTGATGCAGGGTCTTGTGCACCTCGCTCCTTGGGAGGCGTCTTGCTCTTTGATGGCTTAGGCAGTTTAAGTGCAGAGGACGACTTTGGTTGTGCTGCTGCTGGTTTGTCTCTTCCTGTTCTATTCCCGCCACCAAAGAAGTCCATGCGGTAGGCAAACCTACTCTAAGAGCTACTGGCACTACAACAGGTTCGAGCACGGCACCACCTTAGTTTATGAATGCTCTGTCTCAGAAAACTTCGGAGCGGTGCTTCCAATACTTGCCAATACTATCCCTCGCAACATAAACTCGTCAGCTCTTTCATCCAGCGCATGTCACAGGTCTCAGCCGCCATTCACTCAAGATCAAAACACCAGGCGGCTCGGTCACCCCATCTAGCAACACCTCTTCCGGATGAGGACATGACATTCTGAAACGTGGTTTTCTGAACAGGTACAACTTGCCATCGGAAAATGATGAACCTACCGGCCCACAAGGGCGGGGAGCTGGCTCACCCTTAAGAAATGCCTCATTGGCCGACGCCCATGATATTCGCAATGGCGCCCCAAATGCCGGGATCTCCCTCCTGCAACGGCTCCACCCATGAAGCCCAGCATGCAGCATGCACCGGCCTCCTCCTTGTCCTTTTTCACCGCCAAATCCTTTCGAGCTGATTGTGATTTGGCGCCCCCCCTTCCGCTGCTCGAATTGCAGCCAAGCATCGCGGCAGCTGAGCCCACCACACCTCGAGTCTCTCAAGCTGCAACTTTCACCGGTCGATGCAACTTTTCTCAGTTGCCGACTTGAAGAAAATCGTGCAAATGTAGCCTCGGCCGAGTGACATGTGCTGTGGGCCAATCATTTTAACTTTTTTCGGCCAACAGCTGGTCACCACTCTCAAGCAATGCCCTGCTGAAGGACTTGCAACATGTTAACATGGAACAAATGTAAAACGCAGTAGACCGGGCTGTTGCCCATGCTGTGGTGCCCGCGTTTTGGGGTGGCAGTTCCGCCGCGCTGTTTGGGCATTATGTACGCCGCGTAAAACTGTTCAGCCACACCGCATGCACATCAAATCATATTGCATTGGGCGCTTCGCCACGTGGGCATGGACTTTGGGCTGCAGCCAACAAACATCCGGCATCAACAGCACGCAGGTGCTCTCCAACGCTTTGGGGCATTTCTTAAGGGTTGCAGGTTGGTAGTGTCCTTTTGAGGTTGTGTTGCATCCCGCTGTGTAGTTCCTGTTTTCAGGTCCTTTTCAGGGTGACTGTTGTGGTGGAAACCACCCAATGGCTTCAGCGCGGCTCCCCTTGCTTGACGACTGGTCTAGCTCGACGCCTTAACTGCCCTTTGTTTGGCGCAGCTCTTTCATGCAAAGCAATGTTTCTTTCTTTGGTGAAACTGGAACTGGGTTCAAAAACGCTATTTGAAGTAGCTTGATGGTTTCTGCGATGACGGGCAAGACTTGAACACGTGAGTCCGTCGACATCTAAGATGTCGCCTACCTTGCAAACAAGTTACGGCAACAGTAAAACCTAGCCACAGGCACGCGAATATTCTAGCGCTGCCATGTTCTGGTTAAACAGATCATGCACATCGGAATCCCAATTGCATTTGGACAGCTAAAGTTTTGGCATCTCGACAAACCGTCACAAGTCACGCTTTTGCCAGGGAACGTGCTCCGCGTACAATTTCCACCCCACCGTGCAGGCGCTGTCCCCCAAAGAGAATCCCACCACCTGAAAAAAAGGAACCTTTCTGGCGAAAGCTCTGAGCTTCTGCGAGGCCCAACACAGCGATTTGGCGCGAATGCTTTGCGACCCTAAGCGCACCAGTGGCACCTTGGGATGGACGGTAGACGCTGCCGTCCATAAACTCAGTGCCACCTCCCACATAGTCAGACCTCGAAGCAAGCTGCGAAAAATCAAATGGACCTTCAACAGGCGTCTTGAACACCAACTGCTCGCCATACTGCGTCCAAGGTTCTCATTTGAAAGGGTGACGATTGAACTCACGATCGACCCTGGCTTCGCCAAGCTGGCGATTCTGTGTATTTGTCGCCCTTTGCAGGATGCTTAGCCAAGCACCGTCGCGATGGAAAGCCAAACCTCTTTGTGAATCCGTCGCGTATCGCACAATGAAGGCATCATCTACGGTCACATTCTCCTTGGGCAGCCTGGGCTTTGAACTTCGGGCAATCAGCCAGCCTTGAGAGTTGTGGACACTTGTGGGACATGGCAGCCAGAGCCTGCCAGCCAGTCAGCCAGCCTTGAATGCCCCCTCATAGAGCTTTTACCCCTTGGCCACTGAGGAGCTCGAAGTACTGGCCAATGGCTTCAATCAAAGGTGCAGCCAGCTTGTCCTGGCGCCAATCACTAGGTTGGGCCTGTGCTGCCCCATCAAGCTCGCCTGAAATATTTTCTGCGCAGCCGTAGATGTCAAATCCCTGATCTTCACGTCCTTCAGATAACGAACGCCGCATGCCAAGCATTGCTCACTCTGCGTGCTTGCCGCCGCAACCACAAGCTGCATGCAGGTGTTGAATCGACCCATCTCTGTCTTCCAATTTTTCCATCTGGCACCGGGATGCATTGGCACATGCATGGTGCGCAGCTCGCTAGCCGAGCAAATCGACCTCAGGACCGAAGCTCGGAGAAGTGCTCGGATGCAAGCCCTTGCTGCGAAGGGATCCACCCACTGGCGGCCTGCAAGGCGACAAGTTATACATATTTGAGTTGATACTTCCCTGGCAGGCCTGACGTGAGTGCTCACCGGCAGCTTGTCGCCATGCTGCGTCTCATCGGCACTTGTTGAGCACAAGTAGTGCGACATTTCCGCCTCGGAAAGCCGCACCCTACATCTTTCTTTCCTCAAGCTTTTCCACAGCCATTGGTGGACTCCGAAATCACTCCGTCCTTGTCTCCCCACACGGAGCCCTGTGGTCTCAGCCATGCCACGTCCACGGTGCCATTTCCGCTTCCTGAGCTTTGTCAAGGCTTCCAGGATCACGTGCCCGGAAGCAATCCCAACCACAGGCTTAAGCGGAGCAACTGGTGACGTTGGCAAAGAACCAACCATCTTGGTATCTTGCATGCACCAGCTGTCCTGGCTCAAGTGGTCGCTTCGACTGCCAAACGCGGGTGCCGCTCCTACTTTGGGGCTCCACCCATAGGGAGACCCACCAGGTGAAGCTTGTAGGCATGCGGGCCCAGAGCTACCGTCAAGATCCAGCAGGTCCTCCGAGGATGTCAAGCAAACGTTGCCAATTTTGCCAATGACAACCAGCCGCAGTCACTGTTACAAGGCCATGACGTTCCAGTTCTCTCATACTGAGTGCTTTGCGAAGCTTGTGCCTTTGCTTTTGTTTTTAGGGCTTCCTCTCCCGGTTGCTCCAAGCCTGCGGTGGGGTAGGCTTGTCGGCGGCCTTTGGCAGCTGGGTGCGGACGTCTGCCTCGCGCACGGCCTGCAACGCAACGACTTCCTTTTGCTTCTCTCTTCTCTCTTCCCAGGGAGCTGTTGGGGGAGCACGAAGCTGAAACGCAGCTCGGACTCAGAGCCGGCTTGCTTCGGTTTGTTGCCTGACATACGTGGCATGTCTGTCACGTTTCGAGTGGCAAACATCTGCCTTGAACATGTCTTTCCTCCGTTTTGCTCCGGCTGCAAGTGGCTCACAACAAATTTCTCCAGAACGGGTCAGGATGTGGAACAAACATCTTTATGCATCGCAAGTGGGCACTCCTCCTGAGTAAGAAGCTGTTGACAGATTGCTTTTCTGGCGCCTGCGTTCTGCCCGAACAAGGGGCTTGGGAAGGCTGAGCATACCGGCTTCAAACTGGCATGCCAGAGGCATGCAGGCAATTGCTAACTAAGCGCGAATGCGATCCTTGCTGCTCCAGAGAGCTGAACTCAACAAAAAACGGCAAGTCACTTTCGTTCCTTCAGGGAACCCTTCTTCCAAGCGCAGCGCACTTATTGCAGGACACTCACGGGAAACGCCTCTGCCACCTTGGAACCAAGCGGCCGGAGAGGACTCGGGCGAAATGGAGGTATTGGAGGTCGGCTCAGCCACGCTGTCGGAAAGCAGGTCGGGCAGTTCCGGGCCCGAGCTTGGCAACACCGTGGCCGTTCTCTCGCTTGGACTCGCGACTGTTTGTGGCATCGCCAGCAGCAAGGCCTCCAGCAGTGCCTCGGGGAAAAAAATGCATCCCTCACTGGCCCATTGCGCACTAGGCCCAGCGGCACAAACAGGCCGATGGTCTGACTGGGTGAAGCCACCCAGCGCACAGTAGCCTCTGCACATTGGAATTTCTGCAACTTCCCGTGTGGAAACAAAGGGTAGCTCCAGTAGCCCTCTATGATCCAAGCAGCTCTTCCGTGCAACGCTCACTTTGGAGTGCAGAACTCGGTCACACCAAGCAGGTTGCCGTTCGAAGTCATACGCGGCTTGTCCTGCTACTTGTGTCAGTCTCACGGTTGAGAGTTTGTGAATTCACACATCCTTCCATCCAACGGTACGTGGGTGGGAAGTACACTGGCCCCTCCATGAGGCTGTGCTCCTGGCGGGTTCTGATTGGCTCGCCCCGCAACACTTGTGCAGTGCTGGGCAGTCCTTGAGCAGATCCTGCAACTGCCTGCGCCAAGGGCACACTCCAATCTTGACATCGGTCTGCGCCGTTGCCTGCTTGACGAGCTTGTCCCATTGGCCGAGCTCGCCATCTCATCACCTCACTGCCACAATGCAATCCTGAAAGTCAGCGCATCAGTTCCATCCTAGCGGCTCTCGCGGAAGAGGCGCAGCACATCCTCTCCAGGATGGGCGGCGCCTTCTCCAACACGCCCAGACTCGGAATCAACCCATCCTAAGCTCCAACAAACGCATCCAAGTCCGTGCTCTCTTGCGTTGTCGGTCTGACAAGGATTCAAACCCGCCCCTTTTGTATGAGCACAATGATCCGAGTCACCTTTGGCGAGAGTCTGCCTGAGACCTCGCGGGTCGACGCCGTCTGGAAAAGATGCTCGGAAATTGAAATCACCACCTCGGAAGGCCACTGGGGTAGGCCCGGCATGCATTACAATTGCCGCGCAGGATCAGGCCGCCGTGCTTCGGCATCAAGCAGAAATCGCAGCGGGTCGATGCGCGTGATGCCAAGGTGCTAACCACAACAAGGTCGTGCTTTGCACCGGGGGGCCCCTTGTCAGTGCTTGGAGGGCAAATGCCTTAGCTGTGTTACCACCCTGAATTTGTCAGCATGTGCTGGCCCATCTAAGGTTGATGCTCTGAAGAATTTCCCGGAGTTGGTCAGCCCGCTCCTGTTGGCAAGCCATGGCTTACCGTGGACGGAACCACTTCGCGGCATTTGCCTGTGCTTTCTTGATCTGCTGCCCGCTCTCCAAGTGCACAGATGCTACGCAAATGGAGGTCCTAAGCTGAGATCGGCGGTTGGCTCAGCGAGCATGCGACCAAGCACACTCGGACACTCGCTGGCCAGGGCACTCTTGCACCTTGAAGCTCACAACCACGGCTCCCTGTGAGGGCGCAAAGCAAACATTGCGTTTCAAGTAGCCCGAACTTCAGCTGTCCTTGTTGCCTGCTTGGCCGTAGAGCCCAGACCGAACCCGCTCACCAGTCACAGAACGCACAGAACTGGCCAGTGGAGCAGCTACAAAGGCGGCCGCCAAAAGACCAACCATGCCTTGGCTTTTCGTAGGGGGTGGGACGGGCGCAAACACAACGAAGTCATACGAAGTCTCCAAGCCTTGAGGCTGCGAAGCCTTGAAGCCTTGCAGCCTTGCAGCCTTGATTCAATGCAAAGCCTTAAAGCATTTTAAGCTGTTAAGACTTGCATCTAAGTGCCACCAAAATGCCAACAGCCCTCACGGGTACGTAGGTCTCACCCAAGACTTCCCGCAAGGCAGCAGCAGCTGCCACATCGAACTTCGCCTGCCGTGACTCGTCCCCGCAGCCGAGCATCACGACGTTGGCCGCTGAAAGTTCCTTCATTTCGGTGCATCGGTGCATCGCTTCATCGCGGGTTTGCATTTTGTTCCTTTGCTCATAGCGCCCCCGTTAGCCGCCCTGTTCTCACTCGGCCCCTAGATTCTGCCGTGCGTCCGTGAACTCCTGAAAGCAGAATACAAAAACATCTGGCCGCGAACTCTGGCAAGCTCCACTGATCAAACCTCGGGGACAAGTTGGCTGAACAGCCCAAGGCTTCTCTTGCGAAACCGTGGCATGTTTAGCAAGCAAGCTCCAGGACACCATTGGAGACTCCTCTGGAGACCTTTCAACTGAGAGAAGCGAGGCACGCTGCAATGTCTGTGAAGACTCCCAAGGGGTTCGGCCGTGGAGATTCCAGGATGTCACCGCCAGCAGCAGCTTCCCTTGAGGGCTTCGCCGAAGTTCTGACGCAGAAGGGGCCTGCCAACAGGCCGAAGGCCCCAATAATGATCCCAGCTGTGTTTTGTGCTCACCCAGTACACCGCCCCTTTGCTTGCCATATCAACTCTCTCGAATGAAGCCAATCGCAGCTTTCGACAAGCTACTTGCTTTGCCAACGGTTCTTGCCTTTGGCAGTTTGTGGCTTCTCAGCAGCAGCTGGATCGCGGACTGGCGTGCATCGTCTTCAAAGTGCTCGCAGTATGCCTGTGAAGAACGGGCAGTTGTCGTGTTCCTCAAGCAGCAACTGCCTGCCCTTTCTGAGCTGAGATGCGCGGTTCATGGCACGCCAACCTTTCTCCAACATGGCCCTGGCAGTGTGCCCGCCCTGGCGCAGCGTAGCACCCATGGTCGACGCTGCCCCTGTGTACCTTGCAACTGTTGCGACTGGGCAACTCTGGAATACAACCTACCTTGTAGGCCACTGCAAGGCCACTGCTGCCAGGCATCTGCAGCGAAAGCGTGTCCCCTAGATCCGCCCACATGCTCCTCGCCAGGTGGCCCTTGTGTCACTGGCTCTCCAAGTGCCATCTCCTCAGCAAACCTTGTAGCGTGATGGGATCGGTGCCCATGAGGTCAAAAAACCCGAGGCCCGTGTTGTGTCCTTGCAACGTCTTGGCGCCTTCGGCTCAGCAAACGAGCTGCATGTGTCCTCCGGACGTTGGGGAGACTGATGGCGCAAAGCTCTGAAGTGAGGGCTGTTGCAGAATGTATCGTTCCAGCCATCGCCAAGTCACCTGCGCAAGGGACAAACCATGAAGAAACATATTATACATGCTGAGTTACCAAGTGCCAAAAACATGTCAGCTACCAAGTGAACCAGCCGCACCTGATATTGCATAAGGTTCGTGCGGTCGAGGGAGTCAAAGCAGTTGGTTCGAAGCACCCCGCGCTGTCGCCGATGCCTTGGCCATGCAGCAGAATGCCGTTACAGGATGCTGGTGAGAATCCCCTGCTCATGCTGTCATGCTGAACGAAGTGCCTGAAACCAATGCCTAGACCTGCCTCAGAAACGTGCTCAACACAAACTGTTGCAAGCTTCTTTGCTTACAACGCACAGGCAAGCAACAAACAGAACACGGCCCTCAGCGAATCTTGCTAAAGTGGTGTGCTAGTCCTGTTGCAATGACCGACCGCTGCAACACGAGTGCTAACCTGTGGCATTCCATGACATGATTGCCAGAAACTTTTGCCTTCTGGCTGCACGTTGAAAGTGGGACGGGTCAGCTCAGCGTCAAAAAAGCCAAAGCCTGGCATCGAGCGCACCAAAAGCATGAAGCTGCAGAACGACCGTCCAGTCAAGTACCCGGCCTTCAATTTTGGCAGACAAGTCTGCGTAGACGGCATCGAGCTCGTTGTTGAAGTCGTCCTGCACAATGCGAGGAGTTGCCAATGGCAAGGATTGGGATGGGCAATTTGGCGAAATAGCTGTGCAGCGGTCTCCTCCTCGCCTGTGACTCTTGCCTGGAGCGCAAGGTGAACAAACGCACGGCATGGCCAAACTCATGCCAACTGCTGAAAAGGCACGCAACTACTCATGAACAAACACAGCAAGTTGCGGGCAAGTTGCATGAAGATCCATATGGACCATGTCAATGCTTCTATGTCGCCTTGTCAGCTTTCAAACATGCTCTTGAGCGGGCTCCCCCCCCCAAAAAAAAAAGAAGTCCTGTGTCCCTCTGCATGGGTTGCCCTTATGGCTGAGACCCACAAAGCCAGTACCAAACACATCTCATGCTCCATGGCATTTTTCCACATGGAATAGCGAGTCAAGACTTGGATGCAACGAACTTGTGAAAACAGGCAAGTTTGACGTACTCGCCTAGGGTGAAACATGGCGGAACGCGAAGTCGCGGGGCTCCAAGTATTCACCCACATGAGACAACTTGGGCATGGCTAGTGCCGGCTGAAGGCAAACCGGCTGCCATACTTGGCAGCTATGCCCTGATCAAATGTGCAACCCGCAATGCAGCGAGTATTTCATGCCAGAAAACACATAATTTTCCGAGTAATTGAACAGCAAACTCGCCGCAAAGCAATTTTGAAGCGACAGCAGCTGACTTGCTGGCATCTGATGCCTTGTATTTTGCCTGGAGCATGCCGTGAGGTTGCTCGGCTGTTCCTTTGCACGCTGCCAATGGTATTGGAAACCACGATGGTGCTCTGCCCACGTTCGACGTTGCCCCCTCCACTACCAAACAGTTATCACGGGGCTTTTTGTGTGACAGGATGGGCCAACTGCTGTTTGCAAGTGAATGCCCCAAATGCCGAGCATGCTTTATTATGCTTAGGAGCGAGGGAGGTCAATGGTTTCGGGGCCGGCAACATTTACGAAGAAACATGTGCGTGATTCAATCTTGTAACGTCCGATGTAGAGGAACGGTAAGGAAGGGCAGGCTTGCTTGCCATTTCACAAAAAACTTGTCCTCTTTCGACGTCCGATGTAGAGGGAGGGCTGAGGGAGGACAGCTTTGGCATTTCGCAAAAACTTGTCCTCTGGTGATGTCCGGAGTAGAGGAAGGCTGAGGGAGGCAGGCTTGGCATTTCGCAGAAACTGTCCTCTTGCGACGTCCGATGTAGAGGGAGGGCTGAGGGAGGACAGGCTTGGCATTGCGCAAACACTTGTCCTCTTGCGACGTCCGGTGTAGAGGGAGGGCTGAGGGAGGACAGGCTTGGCATTGCGCAGAAACTTGTCCTTTTGCGATGTCTATGTAGAGGGAGGGCTGAGGGAGGACAGCTTTGGCAAATCGCAAAAACTTGTCCTGAGGAAGGACAGCTTTGGCATTTCGCAAAAACTTGTCCTCTGGTGATGTCCGGTGTAGAGGTTATGCTGAGGGATGACAGGCTTGGCATGTCGCAGAAACTTGTCCTCTTGCGATGTCCGATGTAGAAATGTAGAGGGCATTCAGAAACTTGTCCTCTTGTGAGGGCTGAAGGAGGACAGCTTTGGCATTTAGCAGAAACTTGTCCTCTGGTGATGTCCGGTGTAGAGGAGAATGTAGAGGGAGGGCTGAGGGAGGACAGCTTGGGCAAATCGCAAAAACTTGTCCTGAGGAAGGACAGCTTTGGCATTTCGCAAAAACTTGTCCTCTGGTGATGTCCGGTGTAAAGGTTACGCTGAGGGATGACAGGCTTGGCATTTCGCAGAAACCGTGCTCTTGCGACGTCCGATGTAGAGGGAGGGCTGAGGGAGGACAGGCTTGGCATTGCAAAGACTTGTCCTCTTGCAATGTCCGATGTAGAGGGACGGCTGAGGGAGGACAGGCTTGGCATTCCGCCAAACTTGCCCTCTTGCGATGTGCTATGTAGAGGGAGGGCTGAGGGAGGACAGCCTTGGCATTTGGCAGAAACTTGTCCTCTGGTGATGTCCGATGTGGAGGGAGGGCTGAGGGAGGACAGGTCCTCTTCAGGCTTGGCATGTCGCAGAAACTTGTCCTTTGGTAATGTCCGATGTGCAGGGAGGGCTGAGGGAGGACAGGTCCTCTTGTGATGTCCGATGTAGAGGGAGGGCTGAGAAACTGTGCTCTTGCCATGCCCGATAAAAAGGGAGGGCTGAGGGAGGACAGGCTTGGCATGTCGCAGAAACTTGTCCTCTTGCGATGTCCGATGTAGAGGGAGGGCTGAGGGAGGACAGGCTTGGCATTGCGCAAACACTTGTCCTCTTGCGACGTCCGGTGTAGAGGGAGGGCTGAGGGAGGACAGGCTTGGCATTTCGCGAAAAGTTGTCCTCTTGCGATGTCCCATGTAGAGGGAGGGCTGAGGGAGGACAGCTTTGGCATTTCGCAAAAACTTGTCCTCTGCTGATGTCCGGTGTAGAGGAAGGCTGAGGGAGGACAGGCTGGGCATTTTGCAAACACTTGTCCCCTTGCGACGTCCGATGTAGAGGGAGGGCTGAGGGAGGACAGCCTTGGCATTTCGCAGAAACTGTCCTCTTGCGACGTCCGATGTAGAGGGAGGGCTGAGGGAGGACAGGCTTGGCATTGCGCAAACACTTGTCCTCTTGCGACGTCCGGTGTAGAGGGAGGGCTGAGGGAGGACAGGCTTGGCATTTCGCGAAAAGTTGTCCTCTTGCGATGTCCCATGTAGAGGGAGGGCTGAGGGAGGACAGCTTTGGCATTTCGCAAAAACTTGTCCTCTGCTGATGTCCGGTGTAGAGGAAGGCTGAGGGAGGACAGGCTGGGCATTTTGCAAACACTTGTCCCCTTGCGACGTCCGATGTAGAGGGAGGGCTGAGGGAGGACAGGCTTGAGCAAACACTTGTCCTCTTGCGACGTCCGGTGTAGAGGGAGGGCTGAGGGAGGACAGGCTTGGCATTTCGCAGAAACTGTCCTCTTGCGACGTCCGATGTAGAGGGAGGGCTGAGGGACAGGCTTGGCATTGCGCAAACACTTGTCCTCTTGCAACGTCCTAGAGGGAGGGCTGAGGGAGGACAGGCTTGGCATTGCCAAACACTTGTCCTCTTGCGACGTCCGGTGTAGAGGGAGGGCTGAGGGAGGACAGGCTTGGCATGTCGCAGAAATTTGTCCTCTTGCGATGTCCGATGTAGAGGGAGGGCTGAGGGAGGACAGGCTTGGCAGGTGCTTTGCGACATTTGGCATTGCGCAAACACTTGTCCTCTTGCGACGTCCCGTGTAGAGGGAGGGCTGAGGGAGGACAGGCTTGGCATTGCGCAAACACTTGTCCTCTTGCGACGTCCGATGTAGAGAGAGGGCTGAGGGAGGACAGGCTTGGCATTGCGCAAACACTTGTCCTCTTGCGACGTCCGTTGTAGAGGGAGGGCTGAGGGAGGACAGGCTTGGCATTTCGCAGAAACTGTCCTCTTGCGACGTCCGATGTAGAGGGAGGGCTGAGGGAGGACAGGCTTGGCATTGCGCAAACACTTGTCCTCTTGTGACGTCCGGTGTAGAGGGAGGGCTGAGGGAGGACAGGCTGGCATTGCGCAAGCACTTGTCCTCTTGCGACGTCCGGTGTAGAGGGAGGGCTGAGGGAGGACAGGCTTGGCATTTCGCAAAAACTGTCCTCTTGCAACGTCTGATGTAGAGGGAGGGCTGAGGGAGGACAGGCTTGGCATTTCGCAAAAACTGTCCTCTTGCAACGTCTGATGTAGAGGGAGGGCTGAGGGAGGACAGGCTTGGCATTGCGCAAACACTTGTCCTCTTGCGACGTCCCGTGTAGAGGGAGGGCTGAGGGAGGACAGGCTTGGCATTGCGCAAACACTTGTCCTCTTGCGACGTCCGATGTAGAGGGAGGGCTGAGGGAGGACAGGCTTGGCATTGCGCAAACACTTGTCCTCTTGCGACGTCCAAGAGGGAGGGCTGAGGGAGGACAGGCTTGGGATTTCGCAGAAACTGTGCTCTTGCCATGCCCGATAAAAAGGGAGGGCTGAGGGAGGACAGGCTTGGCATGTCGCAGAAACTAGTCCTCTTGCGATGTCCGATGTAGAGGGCGGGCTGAGGGAGGACAGGCTTGGCATTGCGCAAACACTTGTCCTCTTGAGGGCTGAGGGAGGACAGGCTTGGCATTTCGCAGAAACTGTCCTCTTGCGACGTCCGATGTAGAGGGAGGGCTGAGGGAGGACAGGCTTGGCATTGCCAAACACTTGTCCTCTTGCGACGTCCGGTGTAGAGAGAGGGCTGAGGGAGGACAGGCTTGGCATTGCGCAAACACTTGTCCTCTTGCGACGTCCGATGTAGAGGGAGGGCTGAGGGAGGACAGGCTTCCTCTTGCGACGGCCGGTGTAGAGGGAGGGCTGAGGGAGGACAGGCTTGGCATTGCGCAAACACTTGTCCTCTTGCGACGTCCGGTGTAGAGGGAGGGCTGAGGGAGGACAGGCTTGGCATTGCGCAAACACTTGTCCTCTTGCGACGTCCGATGTAGAGGGAGGGCTGAGGGAGGACAGGCTTGGCATTTCGCGAAAACTTGTCCTCTTGCGATGTGCGATGGCATCCAACACAGGTTTTGATTGAAAAGCGTGCTCTCGCACGTGCTAGGTGAGACGTCCACCCTGGCATCGGCAGGCTGTGCATTCCTCAGGCAAAGGGAACAAACAATTCAAACACACTTCCATGAAAAAAAAAGGGCCAGGTTTGGCCGTCAAAGTCCCTACTTTCACGGGTGGAGCCAAGCCTGGAGCTATCTAGCTATCTGGCTGGCCGCACGTTGCACGCAGCAACCCCCCCGAAACGCCGTAGCTATGCTGCGGAGAGCGAGGAGTTCCATAAGCCCGGGAGATTCACGTCAAGCGGATCTTGGTGTAGTGTGGCTTGCTGATAGGTCGATCCCACCAGAGGGAGCATGGCTCCTCAGATGTCAACGCAGAAACTTGAAGCACACGGCACAGAAACTTTCCGGCCAAGGCACTTTGCATCTGCAAGGCTTGGTCCTGCAGCTTGCCTGGACATTTGTTTCGTGAGCGGCGGCGGCTTTGCTTCGCTGCCTACGTCTCCATGTGCATGGGCGCATGTGCAGACAAGCCACTCTCGGCATCAAGAAGAAGGTGGCACTTGCGACCCATCTCCAGGAGAAGCTTGGTCATATCCTATCTTGAAACTCGAGACGGGGTCCGGAGATATCCCGCGGCCAAGCTATTCGGGGGGCGCGAATCACGAACCACGAGTCACGAATCGTCAACTCGATCTTAGCGCATGAGCATTCCGAACAACTTCCTCAGATTTCCGTTCGACGCGAAGGATTGAAGTCCTTCTGCAACGCCACCACCAGGCGTTGCAGTTCCTCCCTCTCTGCACCAGGCCTCTAGTGACATGGTGGGATGAAGCAAAGAGCACGCACTGTGCATGAACGGGAGACCCATGGAAACCCGTGCTCTCCCATGAAAAACCCAATTCCATCCTATGTCTCTTCTGTTTAGTGGCAACGCTTTGGAGATCTCCATGACGCGGCTCAGAGTCACGTGAAGGCTGTGCTCAGCCTGTCGGTCCGCCGTCCCGGCACAGAACCATGATGCCATGCTCTCTTGCGTCTCTCGTGCTCTGGTTGTGCCGGCCGTGCCTTCTGCAACTCGCGCAGGTTCAAGTTGAATGGGGAGGCTTGCGCAAGATTGCCTCCTTACGGTGGTTGTTTTGGTTGCATGGTCGACCCTGGGCTTGCCAAAAGCACCATTCTTGCATGCTGACAGGGAAAGTGCAAGAGGGCTTGTCGCCTTGCCTGCCGCACCCACCGGTAGAGGAGTGCCAAAATATTCAACATCCTGAGCACGGCTCAACGACACGTGCATCCCCCTCAGAACACCTGACGGGCTCAAGAAAGTGGCTCTGTGCTGCCAAAGGGCTGTGCCAACTTTTGCGCTGACCAGCTGATGTTGCACCTTCTGGTAGCTCTCGAGGCGGTTGATATGTTGCACCAGCTGATCTTGTTGTGTAATCATCTCCTCCAGGTGAGGCTTGGAATCAACACATTGCCTGCAAGACTGAAGGCTGCTTCAACCAGATTCTTTCCATGAGCCAATTTTCACCGCTCAACCGTCTCCTTCTGGCGTAAATGAAATTGATGCACCAGCTGTCGCTGCTCTGAGCTCAGCTCGAACTTCTGGCGCCGCGCAGCATCTTCTTCAAGTTCGCGCACCCGCTGCCTACAGTCAGCACGTTTTCACCTCATTCATCGAATTCCCCATTTTTATTTCTACTGCGATCTGGCTTGCCCTATTTTGGCTCGCCTCAGCGCTGCTGCCTCATCCATGAGCCGCTTCCGATCTTCCCGCAAAGTCCTGAGTGGAAGCAGTCACACGTCGCAAGGCCCCCGCAAACACTCAGGAACTGAGCAGAACGAGAGAAATAATTCGGCATCTTGATCGAGCTTGCTGCGCATCATACCATGACAGGTCTCTTTATCTCTTCAGTCGCAATCTCCAGCAACTTTTGAGATAACGCCGTCGGCTGTGCCTGGAGCTTTTGCAGTTCGAGTGGACAGGCGTCAGGAAATATAGAAAGCTACGCACCGTGCCTCCTCCCTCGCAGTGGTGTCCTCTGGCACCTGTCGAAGCCACATGACACAGGGCTGACTGGCTGACGAATTTAAATTCGTCAGGCCCGGCCTGCAGGGACTTCACCACGGCAGTCTCCGCATCCTGGACACTTGCCCTCACACCCTCACGCCCTCACGCCCTCACGCCCTCACGCCCTCACGCCCTCACGCCCTCACGCCCTCACGCCCTCACGCCCTCACGCTCACCGGCCCCTTGGGCCCCTCCGTCCTTCAAAGCCAATGCGCGCTCCAAACGAATTCCCCTGCGTGCCGCCGTGGACATCTGCAGCTGCAAGTGGATGCGCTCCAAGAGCTCTGACTTGCCAAATGGCTTCCTGCGTGAAATGTGAACAGATGTAAAATGCAGATCATTGGGAACGGAAACGCAACTTCCTCCCATTGCATTCCAGAGACGAAAGCTGACCCACCCATGTTTGCACATGGTTGGAACCCAAAGCCCACCAAAAGCCAAGGCACTGTACATAGTCATTGGCTCCCATTGCCAAGCAGCTAGTGATAGAGTCCTGGGTTGCACAGTACTGCTTGAATCTGCATCATGCTCGCAAGCATCCTTGTTGCTCTTCGCTGACACCATAATCACCGGCAAGACTTCGGGAGAATAAACTTCTCGAATTGATTGCCTTGGTTTCAACGGGTGCTGGCGCATCTTGCGCCACGTGCAGCCTGAGAGCAAGCCGTCTTTAGTGGAACATGGCCCATTGCTCGCAAGGTTGCAGCACCTCGTGCCCAGAGATGTCAGCCATCATGACCTTGACTCCCGCGCAGGAAAGTTCAAGGCTGTGGATGCATGAGGCACGGTTTCACTTGGCCTGGCAGCTGATTAGGCGAGAATTGCGCATCATGCTCAACATGTACTACCCAGGCTGTACCACTGAAAATTGTGATGGTACATTCTCCATAGTTCTAATCCACACCACCCCATTCTGAAGAGCTAACCCAATTATCCCCCAAAATGGATGCAACAACAATTACCATCGAAGCAGTCCACCCAAGCAAGGCTAAAACTCAACTGTTACCATTCTCTCCCTTTGCCGACTCCCAGCAGCCCACCAGGCCTCTCCAAAGCAGGGGCGGTCAGCCTTGCCCTTGTTGTTTTGCCCACATCCATGTCATGAATCATTGCCAAGGCGACACTGACAAACATAAAGCCCGTGGCTTCACGGCAAGCATTGAAGCATCCTCCTGATGGCACCGCGGGCCCCTCATCAGCCAACCCACCAAAGTGGTGCCCGCGAGCCAATTTCCCACAAGCTTCCAATTCACTTCCTCATTCTTTCAATGGGGGCCCACGCAGCAGCCCACGCAGCAGTTGTCATCACTTTCGGGAGGAAAGACCGGAAATCCTAGAAAATTGGATGCTTGGAAAGAATGGGTTTTAACCGAAAATGTGGCCTCATACAATACTTCCCCATTCTTTCTGGTTTTCCAATTTTCACCCAAAACAGATGCAAAAGCGAAACAAAATAACAGAGACAAACTGACCTTTGATTGAAAGAACGATGCTGGGGGACAGAATGATGGGGTGGGGAAAGAAGGGAAATAGTGATGGTTGTGGGGAAAGAACGATGGTTGGGGAAAGAACGGTGGTTGGGGAAAGAACGATGGCCCTGGGGAAAGAACGATGGTTGTAGGGAAAGAACGATGCCCCTGAAAACAGAACGCTGCCAGTAAGATCGATTGCCTGCAGCGGCATGACTTTGGCAGGTCAGGGGAAGGGGTTGTCTAGTCTATTGGCCCTACCCCTAGCCCGCGGGACAACTTTCTGCATGCGTCAGTGCTCGCTGCAGAAAAAAAACAAAAACTGGGCCGAAACCGGCTGGAAAGACCGATCGTTGCACTGAGTGCGCATGTGACGAAAGAATGGGGAATCAACCCTTAGAATAGTTGATATTCATTGAGACCACAATCGGTACACAAATGTGGCAGCCCCGATTTGCTGTAGTCAAATCCGGGCAAGTGTGCACTTGGTTACGCCTTTTGCGGCAGTGGACGGCGAATTGGGCTCCAAGGTTGCTAGCGGCACATCGGAACCTTTCTATTGATAGCACAGCTTGGACACATTTCACCTTTGACTTCCCCGTCACGCAGAGGGCAGGCGCTGCCTTGCCGCTGTTTGAGGACAAATCTTTGGGCTGGCCCTTGTGCAAGGCAAGCACGCCCCGCATTCGGTCCCATGGTCGCGTTCCATGCTTGGGACGAATTTGCAGTGACTAGACGTTGCGCCGTAGTTGAATGGCTAACCGTGCCTCTGCCACGCGGATCATGCAAGGTGCCGACATGTTTGAGAGCGCCAACTTGTCATGCTGCAGTTTGGATGATCCCTGGCTTGTGCTATTGACTGCACCTTGCATCACTTCTTGTGCCAAGGGGCATCGAGCAGAACTAAAGACGGCAAAGGCTTCTCCTCGAGGTATTGCAAAGCTTCTAGGCCATTTGTCACAGCCTGCACCTGCATGCAGAGCGCAAGTCGCCTTTATGCCGCTTTTCTCTCTGACTGTCCTGCCTCGTAAGATGTAGATTCAAGCAGCGCGTTGATCACTTGGAGGTGCACATTGTCGTCGTCCACGGATAGAACAACCGGTCGGCGCGATTCTGGCGTGATCCGAAGGGCCATGTCCTGAAACACTCACATACCCCAACTGCATCAAAGGCTTCGAAATGCTTCGAAACTCTTTTCGGACATGTGGAGCGTTGCGGAATAAGCAGACATCGCAGCCTGTGCTCTCACGTCCAGGCTATAGCCTCGACCTGGCAATCACAGTGGCTTGGATCTCCCGGCTAGACTTAAAATGGGGCTCCTTGGCTTCTTTCTTTTCTCCTCTTGTCCTTCTTCTCGCCCTTATCCCAATCAAAGCTCCTGAGGGTGCTGGCAATGCAGCTCTGACCATCCTGAGTCCGGACGTCCTCACGCTGGAGGTGGTTGTGCTGGAGCGCCCCATGACATTGGGTGTCTCCTGCGACAGTCACCAGGCAAACATGGCTCAATCTCAGGTCGTGATGATCAATGCAAAACGGACATGGCTGCAATTATTTTGATCTTGTGAAGTTCCTTTTTGAAAGTGTCAGCCTAGAGCATGCTGGTCCAGTGGCGGCAACCTCCGAATACGTGTGAACAAACCGCTCTCTTCATCACGCGGAACGTGAGGGATGAGGGAGATCGTAGGCCCCGCTTGCTGGCTGAATGTCAGCGCAAGACCACGGCCATCATCGCGCGCAAACTAAACTCCAACCCAGGTGGTGGCAGTTGCAACGAATGCGCTTATACCTGATCTCCTTCTGGATCCAAATGCAATTTCTCGCTGTGCGTTGCCAAAACTTTAGTTGGGAGGTACCCTGCGAGCCCTGTTAAGATAGTACGCTCTGGTCATATCCCAAACCGCCGATCCAAGCCACCAATCATAGCGCACTGCCGGATTTGCGTGGGATGCCAACTTTACCTGTACACAGGTACAGCCGACCGTGCCCGACCAGGGCGCGACGGTGTCACCATGTGTCACCGGTCCCCGATCGGGGCACGTCGCAATCGGGCCGCGATGGTGCCCGACTGGGGCGGCAGCAATGCACCGATCACGTTTTGCTGATGTCGCTTTAGCCCGACGGTGGGCGCAGACGCGTGCCCATGCTTTGGACCACACACCTCGTGACTCTTTGTGGAAACCTTGCGGAATTGCTCTGGAAGCCTTGTGGAACCCTGTGGTGGAAGTCTAGTGGAACCCTCGCAGAAATTCCTGGAACCCTGGTGGAAATCTGGTGGAGCCCTCGCAGCGTGGAACCCTCGTGGAACCCTGGTGGAGCCCTCGTCGAACCTACCTCAGGGCCGCCCCGGACCACCCCGGAGCCTATCTGGGCTGAGACCCCAAAGCTTTCAGCTGTTGGGGAAAAAGCGAACTTGGATGGGATCCCCAGAGAGTAGGGGTTGTTCTGGTGGCACCCAATCACTCAGTCAGTCGGCCACTCGGTCAGTCAGTCAGTGAGCCATTGAGCCTGTGAGTCAGTCAGTCAGGAACTTGTCAAGTTGAGAGAGTTTGCCATGATCACTATGGCTGAATTGTACCATGCAAACTTCCAAACACAAGCTGATGAACGCATCAGACCACAACATCTTCGCCACATCTTGTTTCCAGAGTTTGGCATGTTTTGCTGCAAACTGCAGGTCCGTCCTTATCTTCACCAAGTTTTGTCGTGAGCCTGGCTGGAGACTGCAGGGGCGGTTCCTCGTGCTCCTGAGTCCAAAGGCTGAAGCCTGTGAGAGCCTCTGCTGCCTTTTCGCGAGCTTTCCTTGTCCTCTGCCGCTGGCGACTTCATTTTGTATGGAAGTGTAGCGCCTCACCCGTGTCAACACATGGAGAAAGTGCGGGAATCCCTCTGCGGCCCAGGTACGGAAGGTGGAGCCTTGCCCCTGCACAGAGGATACAGTCAGCTCGCCCCCGTGCTTGTGGACAACCTGCGCGCTGCAAAAACCAACGAAACATTCAAAGCCTCGCAACTTCCACTGCCCAAATTGCCCCTTTTGTCTGCCCCGCTTTGGCCCCCATGCGTCGCCAGCCCCCCTGCCTCCCGGCTAATGGCCAAGCCCAGGCCTAGCCCTGAGTAGCGCCGACTCTCAGAGCAGTCCTGAAGCACAAACGACATTCAACGACACGTTGATGTTGTTGCTGATGTCAATGTTTCGACAGATCTTGCCGCACCCTAAACTGCATTCCATCTGCAAATCGGCAATCCATTTGTGCCTGTTGCTCTGCGCTCCCCTCCTCTTGGTCAAATGGCTGGAAGATTCTGTCAATGTTCTCGGGTGAAATGCCAATGCCCGTGTCTTTGACCTGCACTTCTACCATCTGCTTCTCGTCGTCATAGCTCGCCGACACGGTCACGGACCCCTCATGTGTGAACCTTGGTGAGCAAAGCTTGTGCACCTGCAAGCTCAACAGCAAGGGGCGACGGGCTTTGTTCAAGAAGCTTCACGGCATTGGCAACCAAGTTGTACATCAGCTGTGTGCACCTATAGGCATCTGCCTCAATCACTGGCAATGGTTTGGTGACCTCATTGATGAGCTTGACGCCTCCAGGGAGTGGGCACATGGGACGCATCACCATCGTCACACATTGTCACATTGTGATACACGCCGCAAGCTCAACACAGCCCCCTTCCAGCTCTTCCATGCCTAAGGAGGCGGGATTACCAGATCCTCTTTCTCCGCACGACTGCTGCGAAAGCAGCATCACCTCTTCAATGATGGTCTGCAGTTGTACTGGATCTTTCGCCATGCGCATTCGCTTGTCTTGGACAAGTACTGACCTTGCAACATCATTATTTTACCGGCAGTCGATTTTGGCAAACATGCGTTAGCTCCCGGGGATGCACCCATGCCATCATTGCCAAGAGACGCGTCCATGATGTTGCTCACCATGTCAAGCAAACGCTTGGCACAATTGTGCAGCATCCCCATTGGCTTTTGCAGGGCAGACGGAAGTTCCGATCCTTCCAACAAGGAGTTGCTCAAGCCGATGATGCCGTGCAAGGGGGACTTGAGCTCATGGGACACCATGGCCATGATGGAAGCCTTTCGGTCTTCCAAGTCTTTGAGCTTCGTGATGTCTTGGCCGATGCAAATGCTACCGGTGGTCCGGCCCGTGGGTGCCAGGCACGGCGTCGCGGTGAGCAGAAGCACTGCAGTGCGGCTCTGCTGGGCATCCAGCAGACCCACTTCGAACAACTCCACCGGCGCCTGCGGCGCGGCGGTGATTGCTCTGTTGGCGGCATCCTGGTGCAAAGCGAGGCAAGAAATCATGCAAAGATGCAAAAAGCCAGCGCAAGCTTACGGACTTGCGGACTTACGGGACAAGCGCTTTGGAGTCCTGCACCTTCCTCTTGGAATCTGGGCTCAGGACCGTGGACACATGCTTGCCGGCCAATTCTTCCTGTGAAAGGCCAGTCTTGTTGACCAGCCAGCTGTTCCATTTTGTGACTCTGAATTCCATGTCGACCTCGAAAATCGGAGCGTTAGCCTCAGAACATCGCAATGGCAAAATGGTAGTGTGTGTAGAGTGTGACATTGGCCGTCAGGAACCGGCTGCCTGGACCAAGTTGGATAAGGTGGAAAGGCTTTGTGGGGCCCGTTGCATGGGCGAGGTTTGACGCATGAAAGCATGGAAGCTGTGCACTTTTTGCTTGGCCAGGTTACCGATTCGATCAGGCCTGACGCGATGAAACAGAAAAAAGGGGGCAACACAAACAGGACACACGCACACAAGTTGCCACTTCCAGCCCAGCTGCGGTTCAGGCTTTCTGCGAGATTCTCGGCCTTTTGCTTCTCCTTTGGCTGTGCCCGGCTGCTTGGCAACCATTTGTGATGCCGACTCAATCTGCTCTGGAAAGTGCGCACTTCACGACACGCCAGTGCAATCTCAAAGCGCCAGTTGCCCAATATTGCGTTGTGCTTTGCTCTTCATAACTTTGTCTAGGTTCCAGAGTTAGTTCAGTGACATCTTGGCCGATACCTCGGATCTCGTGCAGCACGTGACTAAGCGCACCCACGGGCCCCAAGACACAGACACCCGCGAACACACGCCCAAAGGCACAAGCAACGAAGGCCGACACAGGCAGACACAAACAGCCAAACAGAAACAGAAGGAGGCAGAGAGAGAGCGAGAGAGAGAGACGGAGTAGACGGAGACAGAGACAGACAGAGGCATGCACAGACACGTACATACATACAGACAAATGGACGGACAACCGAACAGTCGGGAAGATAGAAAGGAAAACACTCTCACAAACACAAGAAACACGAAACATGAGAACCGCACTCCCAACAGAGACACCAACAAACAGATGTCGATCCCGCACACCGAAAGACACAGAGAGACACAGAGCATGCACAGAGACACAGAGACACAGCGAGGCACAGACACACAGACACACAGACACACAGACGCACAGACGCACCGAACACAAGCACATACACAAAAACACACACACACACAGACACACAGACACACAGACAGACGACACCCAGACAGACACACAGACAGACACACAGACACACACACACACAGACACACACAGACACACACACACACACAGACAGACACACAGACAGACACATAGACACACAGACACACAGACAGACACACAGACGGACACACACAGACACACAGAGACACACAGAGACACACAGAGACACACAGAGACACACAGAGAGACACAGAGACACAGAGACACACACACACACACACCCACCCACCCACCCACCCACGCACGCACGCACGCACGCACGCACGCCCGCCCGCACCCCGCAACCCGCACCCGCGCCCGCACCCGCACCCGCACCCGCGGCACGCACGCGCGCGCAGCGCACGCAGCGCAGCCTACGCGCACGGGGCCGCTTAACGCACGCAGCGCAACACACTGCGCAACACCACGCACACACGCGCGGCGACCGCATGCCGCACGCACACATGCATGCGCGCGCCCCGCCGCCCCGCACGCCGCCCGCACGCGCCCGCCGCCCGCGCCCGCCCGCCCGCCCGCCCGCCCGCCCGCCCGCACGCACATAGACACAGACACAGACACAGACACAGACACAGACACAGACAGACACAGACACAGAAACAGACACAGACACACACATACACCTCCACACACCCACACACCCACAGACCCACAGACTCGCACACCCGCACACCCGCACACAAACGCGCACGCACGCATACGCACACGCACGCGCACGGGCATGCGCACGCGCACGTGCAAACACACACACACACAGACACACAGACACACAGACACACAGACACACAGACACACAGACACACAGACACACACAATCATGCTGGCACACCCACACTCACACCCCCACACAAAGACACAAACACACACACACACAGACACACAGACACACAGACACACAGACACACAGACACACAGAAACACAGACACAGAGAAACAAACACACACACACACACAGACACACACACACAGACACACAAACACAAACACGAACACGAACACGAACACAGGCACATATGCTGGCCTGCGCACACGCCACCAAATCCACATCACACACACACACACGGCACAAGCAAAAGCACACGCGCACACACACACACACACACTTTCACCGACGGACGCGCGCAAACACCAGAGGCTCAGCTTGGGCCAAGCAGCAAACGGCACCTTTGATGTCGCCTCGACCGGTACGCTGGCAGGTGGCACTGACAGCCACCATGCACTTCTTCAGCTCACCTCCCTGTGTCGGGGGGGCGTTGAAGTGCATCCTCAGATCCAATGAAATGCGCGTGCCGGAAAAGCTGCACGCAGGAACGGCCCATGCAACATGGGAAGACGCAGCCCATGACACATATGACACTTGCCACTTCTGATATCTTCTGATCCCAAACCAGGCCGCTCCACCACATTGGAGTCCCGACCTTCGAGTGCATCTTGCAGCAGCTCCCCGGCAGCTTGCCACCAAGAGCTGGGGTTCGCCGGGCTCGGGGCATAGAATTCCTGGCTCTCTGGATCTATGAGTCCCCCTCGGGACAGTCGGGACATTCGGCCAAGCTGCTGGCAATCGCCGGTTCATGGCATCTGCCCTGCAAACGCCTGGGAACACAATGCAGGACCATGGCTCAGCAAGGCGCGGCTTGCCTGTCAGCTCCTCAATCTTTTGATTCCAGTCCTGTGCAGAGTTGCACATTGACTGTTGACTGGGTTTAGCTCATGCCGGTGTCGGCTCCCTTGCCAGTTGGGCCTCAATCTCCAAATTTCTGTTGACACAGAAAATCGGAACCTCGGGTCGTGACAAATGTTGCCCAAAGCCCCATGTGCACAGTCCACTTGATTCCGAGGAGCATTGGCCTGAGAAATCATCCTTTGCAAATCTGCTGCTGCGAGGAGTGCAGCTTCACCTGGCCACGGGCCCGGCCCAAGCCTTTGTGCTCGGAATGCGGCGGTCTCCTTTGCTATCCTCGTCTCAACTTATCTGCAGCCAAGCCACGCATGTTCTGCAGCAAGAGGAGGTTTCTCCGTCGCCGGAGGCTAAGCAAAAAGATCGAATGGAAAAGCTTCGCTCCCACATCAGAGAACGTGTAGGCAAGCTGCTCCTCGGTTCTCTGCCATTGTCGAGTTGCTGTGCGGGCCAACCGGAAACAATGGGCTGATGGTCACACGACCTAAACCTAGGGCTTGCCGGTCGCCCGAACTCCATGCTGCAATGGCCTTGACAAGCTGCGCTCTGCCAAGAAATTTTGCCAAAGACTGCCAGCAAATAGATAATGCCATAGTGGGTGGCGAGCATCACCTGGCACTGCACTCACAAACCGTCGGTATGGTTCAACCTCATCGTAGGGCCTGCGATATCACCAGGCTGGTCCAATCCTGAACACAAAGTGCAAAATCCAAACAGTGTCTTGAGTCGGCTGAACAGCCAAAATGCAAACCCCAGCACGTGCTTCTGATTGTGGACCCCCCCCCCCCCCACACGCACGCACGTACGAACGCACGCAGGCACACTCACGCTCGCAAGCACACCCACACTCACACCCCCACACAAAGACACAGGCACAAACACACACAGACACACACAAGCACAGGCACAAACACACACACACACACACAGACACCCACACACAGAAACGCACACGCGCGCACGCACGCACGCACACACACACATACACACAGACACGCACAGACACAGACACAGACACAGACACAGACACAGACACAGACACAGACACAGACACAGACACAGACACAGACACACAAACACAAACACAAACACAAACAAACACAAACAAACACAAACAAACACAAACAAACACAAACAAACACAAACAAACACAAACAAACACACACAAACACAAACAAACACGAACAAACACAAACAAACACAACAAACACACAAACACACAAACACACAAACACACAAACACACAAACACACAAACACAACCACAACCACAACCACAACCACAACCACAACCACAACCAGAACCAGAACCAGAACCAGAACCACAACGACAACGACAACCACAACCACAACCACAACCACAACCACAACCACAACCACAAACACAAACACAAACACAAACACAAACACAAACACAAACACAAACACACACACAAACACAAACACAAACACAAGCACAAACACAAACACAAACACAAACACAAACACACACACAAGCACACGCACACACACACAGACGCACGCACACGCACCAGCACACAGACACACACACAGACACACACACAGACACACACACACAGACACACACGCACACACACACACACACACAAAACGGACACACACACACGCACACAGACAGACCTACACACACACACAGACACACCGACACACACGCACACAAACAGAGACACACATACGGACAGACGCACCCACACACACAGACACACAGACACACAGACACACAGACACACACACACACACCCACCCACCCACGCACGCACGCATGCACGCACGCACGCACGCACGTGCACACACGTGCACACACGCACACGCATGCACACGCACGCAAACCCACGGGCACACGCACGCACACGTACGCGCACGTACGCGCGCGCACGCGCACGCACACGCGCACGCACGCACGCACGCGCGCACGCAGGCACACACACAGACTCACACACAGACACACACACAGACACACACACACAGACGCACACAAACACACAGACACACACACACACAGACACACAGACACACACACACAGACACACAGAGAAAGACACACACACACAGACACACAGAGAAAGACACACACACACACGCCACACACACAGACACACGCAAACACACACACACACACACGCAGAGACACACGCAGACACACACGCAGCGACACACGCAGACACACACGCAGAGACACACGCAGACACACACGCAGACACACACACACGCAGACACACACGCAAACACACACACAGACACACACACACACAAACACACACACACACAGACACACACACAAACAAATACACACACACACACGAACAAACACACACACACAAACAACTACACACACAAACAAATACACACACACACACACACACGCACCCACACACACACACACACGCACACACACACACACACACACACACACACACACACACACACACCCCCGCGGCGCACGCGCCTGCTGCGGCTCCAACGCAGACGCAGGCCTTCCGGCGCGCAGGCGCCGCTGCGTGCGCGGCCGCTCCACGCGCAGCGCTTGCAGCGCAGCGCAACATGCCTTCAGACACACACACACACACACTCGCAGACACACACACACACATGCAGACACAGAGGCACAGAGACACAGAGACACACAGACAGACAGACAGACAGACAGTCAGACAGACAGACAGAGTGACAGACACCCCCGGGGGCCTGACGTTGCTTCACTGGGTTGGCGTTCTTCGGGGAGGCGAGGACCCCCGAAAAACGGCACTAAGGGAATTCTTCCCGACGAGCACCCCCTCCCCTGCACTCCCAGACGTCAGGGCGACAGTGCCTACCTTCCCTCATTCTCAGCCTTCTGCGGCCTTTTGTGGCCTTGCTTCACCTACTTTAATTCCTGTCATGGCCCCTGCGTGGCAGTCCGTGGCCCGCGCATGGCCTTGCTTCACTTTGCTTCCTGTCATGGCCTCTGCGTGGCCTGGCCCCCACGTGGCCTTCCGTGGCTTACTTTGCTCACGTTGCTTCCTGTCTTGGCCCCTGTGTGCTGTGTGGCCTTCCGTGGCCGCCGTGTGGCCTTACTTTGCTCACGTTGCTTCCTGTCTTGGCCCCTGCGTGGCCTTCCGTGGCCGTCGCGTGGCCTTACTTTGCTCACGTTGCTTCCTGTCTAGGCCCCTGCGTGGCCTTCCGTGGCCGCCGCTTGGCCTTACTTTGCTCACTTTGCCCTTGTCTTGACTCCGGCATGGCCTTCTGAGGCCCCAGCGTGGCCTTGCTTCGTCTACTTTGCCCACGCGTGGCACCACGTGGCCTTACTTTGCTTCGCTTCCTGTCTTGGCCCTTGCGTGAGTTTCTGTGGCCCCCGCATGGCCTTGCTTCGCCTACTTTGAACCCTGTCTTGGCCCCTGCGTGGCTTTCTGTGGCCCCGCGTGGCCTTACTTTGCTCTCTTTGCTTCCTGTCTTGGCCCTTGCGTGGCCGTGGCCCCCTGCGGGTCTTGCTTACTTTGCTTCCGTCTTTGGCTGCTGGACCCTTGCGGGACTTTTGTCTTGGCCCCTGCATGGCCTTCGCCCCCGTGTGGCCATACTTTGCCTTTCTCTGCTTCCTCTTTTTGCTCCGACCCTCTGTCGCCTTCGCGTGGCCTTTGCTCTCTCTGTCTTGGGCCCTGCGCAATCTTCTGCGGCCCCGCGTGGCATGGTTGGCCCTGCGTGGCCTTACCTTGCTTACCTTGCTTCCTGTCTCGGCCCCGTCATGGCCTTCTGTGGCCTTCTCGTGGCCTTCCCTCCGCGGCCCCAGCGTGGGCATTACTTGCTTTGCTGTTTTCCACACTTGCGCCACCCTTGGGTTGACCCGCTCGCCCATGGTGTGGCCTGTGTCTTGGCTGCATCTAGTTTCCGGCCGGCTTGAACCCCAAGCTTCGGCCGGGGGGGAAGCGCGGGCCTGGCCTCGCTAACATGCGCTGGCCACGAACCAACCAACCAAACAACCAGAGTGACAGACAGACAGACAGACAGACACGCAGACAGACGGCAAGTTGCTCCGCGCAGGTTGCTCCGGCAAGTTGGTCCCTGCAAGCGGCTCCCTGCAAGTTGCTCTGTGCAAATTGCGCTCCCTGCAAGTTGCTCTGTGCAAGCTGCTCTGTGCAAGTTGCTCTGTGCAAGTTGCTCTGCGTAAGTTGCTCTGCGCAAGTTGCTCTAGGCAAGGCGCTCTGCGCAAACTGGTCGGTGCAAGTTGGTCTGCGCAAGTTGCTCTGTGC